TCGTCCAAATGCATTCTCGAATTGTCCTCGTCCGAATGGATCCTCGTCCAAATTCGTCCTCGTCCAAATTCATCCTCGTCCTGGCGCGGGAGCCCTCGTCCAAGTCTATTCTCGAGTTCTCCTCGTCCAAATTGATCCTCGCCAACGTTTATCCTCGTCCAAGTTTGTCCTCGTCCTGGCTTCAACTTACACTCAGGGGCAACGATAGAAGGGGAAAGGCAACTGGGGGATTGCATCGATCCCCAATCGCCCAGAGATCGCCGATGGGGACCCGATAGCCCCAGCCCGCCCAGGAAGGTGCGGATTCACGATCGGGAGCCCATCGCCGATCTATCGGCGACGTATCGCCGAGTCCAGGTCGATGCATCCCCCCTGTGCCTATCCTCCCCTATCGTTGCCCCTCGTAGACCGGGTTGGCGCAGGGTCCCCGCAGCCGCCACGCGTTGCTGCCGCCGCCCCCTTCTGGCTGCCCGGAGCGGCCGGCCCCCGCCGCTTCTGGGCGCGGGGCGCGCGCGAGCCCCGCGCCCCGCGGGGAAGCTGCCCGTGCTCCGCCGGACCGTGCGCCCCCGCGAGAGGTTGCGGCTGCTCGTGCTTCGAGCTCTTCGAGCTGTTGGCATGGGATCCCTCCTCCAGTTCCTCCCCGACCCTCCTACTGCCTCCTCCTGCTCCTCCTTTTCCTATTCCTCCTCCTCCTCCCCCACCCTCCTGCTCCTGCTCCTCCTGCTCCTCCTGCTCCTCCTCCTCCTCCTCCTCATGCTCCTCCTGCTCCTCCTCCTCCTCCTCCTCCTCCTCCGCCTCCTCCTCCTCCTCCTCCTCCTCCTCCGGCCGCGTGTCTGCCGCGCGCCGAGAGCACTGTGATCGGGAGCCGGCGCAACCCCCCCCCCCAGGTGCGACCCGCCGCTCGGCGGCGAGCCGCCCCCGAAGAGGAAGGGGTGCGCCGGCCGGGGCCTATAGACTCCGCTACACGGGAGCTCCGCGGACACCGCGAGGACCAGGTAGCCGGCCGCCTCGGGGCGGCCTGCGCGCCGGCCCCCAGCGCCGCCCCCAGCGCCGCCCCCTGGCCAGTGCAGCGCGCCAGCCGCCCCCCGGCGCCCAGCGGCGGCCGCGCCTCCGCCGCCCGCGCCAGCTCCGCGCCGCTGCCGCCGCCAGCTGCCCCGCGGGGCCGCCTGGCCGCCGCCGGCCAGCGGGGGCCCGCCGCCCGCCCTGCCGCCTGCTCCAGCCCGCCCTGCAGCAGGCCTAGGCCGCAGACCCAGGGCAGCCTCAGCGCAGCCCGGCCGCGCGCCGCAGCTGCTGCGCCAGCTCCCGCTGCAGCGCGCAGCTGAGCACCCGGCAGGCGCGCGCCAGCTCCTCCGGCTGCGCGTCCTCCGGGAGCTCGCGGACGCGGCTCAAGAGCCAGTCCCGCGCCTCTGCGCCGAGGCGGCCGCCCGTCTCCAGGGCGAAAGCCGTCAGGCGCTCGCCCAGGTAGCGCGCTTGCTTGGCGCGCTCGGCCCGGCGCGCCGCCTCGCCCGGGCGTCGCGCCGCCGCGCGCGCGGCGGGCTCGTCGCCGGCCGCTGGATGGCGCACCGTCACGTCCAGCCACCTCCTGCCGTCGACATCGTCGTATTCGACGTCCAGGATGGCCCGTTCCTGGACCGCCAGCTGTCCTCGCCGCGGCGCGCGGGCCCTGTCCCACGTGGGCACCCGCTGCTCGTAGAGCGGAGCGCAGTGGCCCCACCTGCCAGCGAGGCTGCCCACGGCGCGCGCCACTCCCTGGTGCCGCTTAACGACTCCGCCGCCGGGCTGGCAGATCGCGGCGTGGAAGCCAGCCTCGTCCAGCGGCGCCTGACATGGGGCTCCCCCGGCTGTCAGGTTCTGGCAAGTCGCCGCAGCTCGCGCGAGCTCGTCGGCGGCGCACTCGGGCCGCGGCAGCTGGACCCGGCGCCGGGTCGCGGTCTCCCAGTGAGGGTCCTCCAGTTCCTCCTCCTCCTCCTCCTCCTCCTCCTCCTCCTCCTCAGCTATTCCCCCTCCTATTCCTCCTCCTATTTATCCTCCTGCTCCTCCTCTTCCTCCTCCTCCTCCTGCTCCTGCTCCTCCTCCTCCTCCTCCTCCTCCTCCTCCTCCTCCTCCTCCTCCTCCTCCTCCTCCTCCTTCCCCCCACTCCCCGGCGGTTTCGGTGACCTTGCCCTTCAGGGCCACGCCCACGGGAGCTCACAGAGATCTCCTTGTGGTCCATCTTCTGGAGGTGGCCAAGCACTGGGCTCTGTCGGTGGTTTCGTTTCATCGTTGCCTGGGCTCGAGCCTTCAGATGCCTGTATGAAGGAGGCCCAGGGGATCCTTATTCTTCCCAGGCATTAAGTCGGGCACGTCCCTCTACAGGAAGAATAGTCAAACATTGCACACACACACAAACACAAAAATATAGGGACGATATTCGAATGTGTTTAATTATGTTTGATTATGCTTGATTATGTTTTGAGCATCTTGATTTTTCATCCCAAATCCGCCTGCAGTTGGCCATGCCCGACCTAAGGCTAAGAATTGGGCTCTGTCGGTGGTTTCCTCGTTGCCTGGGTTCGGGCCATACGAGGCGTGCGCGAAGGAGGCCCAGGGGATCCTTCTTCCTCCCAGGCATCGGACCCAGGCTTAGCTGCCTCGATACGCCCGTTTAAATACGCAACACGTGCCGTGTTCAAGACGTCCGTGTCAATACGTTGCGTGTTGGCTCCACGTATTGGCCCACGCTTTGGCGAGTGTATCGCGTCGGACCTACGTGTTCGGTCTACGTGTTGAGCTCCGTATCAGTACGCTACGTGTTGCGTGTTGCGTATCGGGGCAACTGAGGACCCAGGCGGTCGGCCCTGCTCCAGCGGCGCTGCTCTCCCTCGCACGCGCGGGAGCGGCGCTGCCCAGCGCCTCGGTCGATCGAGGCCCCTGCCATGCAGAATGTTGTCTCAAGCGGTTCCCGCCTGTCGGGCCTGTCCCTCTACAGGGGCATTTTCGACTGAAAATTAAACATGCCCCAAAAATAGTCGGTCCAGAAATAGTCGGGGGACTATTTGTTGAATAGTTTGTTGCCATTTTGGGGCATTTCTGGGGTATGTTTTAGTTCTCGTCGAAAATCCCCATGTAGGGGGACAGGCCCGACTTAAGCCTGAGTTTATACTGGATCTTGCCCGAGACTCTGTACGTGCTGCGTCAGGTGTGGCGGCCCTTCGTCGGATGGAAGGAGCGTGGGTGTTGCCACTGCACTGGCCGCCTGTAGCAGCAGTTCTTGGTGTGGGGGTATTCTGAAGGATGGACGGCACGCGTGTGTGCCACAGCCAGATTCTTCGCTGGAGCGAGTCACTGGCCCCACGCCAGGATGCATTTCCGCGGGAAGGCTGTGCACGATCGCCTGACCCACTGCGGATAAAGAGACACCCTGTTTCACAGGATTAAAATTTGCCCGCAGATGTTTGAGACGCGCCGTGATCTCTGTTCGCCCCATGTTAAGCGAGCTGTGTTAGTTGAGTCCAGACCATCAGTTAGTATGTGTTTATACTATGTACGCGCTGCTTGTGGCCAACGCCTGGTCATGTGTTTTCCCGTTGTGAGGCCCCAGAGGAGAACTGGCTTAAGTTTGCGGTTGTTAGCCCTTTGTGGGAATTCTCTGGCAAAGTCTTCGTTGACAGGAGTGCCTTCAACACTGCCCCCGAGGTGCTGAGTCGAGTTGGATGGGCCGCAGTGGCCATCGACCCAGCAGGAAATCTCGAGGCAGCTACATTCGGGGTTATCCCCCTCAGCTCCTCCCTATCCCCACTTGTGCGGGACGGGGAGGACTACGGCTTTCACATGCTCAGCAAGTTCCCATAGTGGGATTCTGAGAAACCACTTCAAGTTCTTCGGGCTGTGAGGGCACAGTGAACTGCTCTCAAAATGCGGGGGCGGCCCTCGACTTCAGCAATCCTCGCAGACACCATTGGACTGAATGGTGGCCAGACGTCGGCATGCGAGCAACTGTCTCCATGGACAAAGCACACGAGTCGGAGAGGGATGTTCGGAGCGATCACTATGTTTGGCGCGCATTCGCGGCCCAAATAAGGCCGACGATAATGATAAGAACGGGGGGCTGACATTGAATCCGAGGATGAGTATCCGCAGGCCGTCTTGAGGTGGGGCTGCGTCCTTTCGAGGTGAGGCCGAGGGCCGGTGGGGGCTGTGAGCTCTCCTCCTCCCTACCCGCCTCCTCGCCCTGCCCCCAGGGACTTCCTCCAGGTTGCCAGAGAGTGCCGTGAGGGCACCGAGGTCATTCCATCGCCCCGGCCGAAGTTCAGGGGAAAGGGTTGACGGCTCGTGATTATGCAGCGACGTGGGGCCTCGGTGCATCAGCATGCACGAGGAGGGTTCTCCTCCAGGCTTGCAACGGATCCGAGCACGTAGGTTACGAGACGCAGAGTTCGAGGCTCAGACGAGCCTTGTTCCCAGGCCACAACTTGGGCAAGGCACTGTGAGCAGCCCGCTCGGACCCACGGACGCCATCAAAGCTGCTTCAGGTACTTTGCTTGGTTGCTCGTTGGGTGGTGAGACTGGGAGGTCGCCCCCTCTTTTGCGAGACTGTGGAAGGGTGCCCGCCAGCGACCCCTACCTTTGTGACGGTCCCTTCTCTCACCATCCAGCAGAGAGCCTAGATTCATCACTTTCGTGTCCCCCGAGGCGCTAGTCGCTTGGGGGAGTGACCAGCAACGTCGGAGGGAGACTCTTGCAAATGGGGTGAGAAGGATAGCATAGGCTAGCCTCCTCATGAAGGCTCGGCGCAAGGAGGTGCAGACCCATCCCGCATCATCAGTACCCTCAGGACCCTCCTTTTTCCCCCCCCTCCTCCTCACTATCCCCGTCCTCCCCTCAGCCCCTTCTTACCCGTCAGGAACTCGTCGGATGGACGTCCCCACCCCATTTTCCTTCTCCCCCCTCTTTCTCTGACCCGGACCTCCCCCCCTCAATTCCCTCAGTGGGCAGTGCTCCTCCTTCACCTGTCCCTCCGCAGCCACTCAGGCCAGAAGTTCACCCAAGCTCCCCCCACCCCTTTGGGGCCCAGCGGGCAGCCGCCACACCGCGGGTCGTGCCGCTGCGAAGGCTACCTCCATGGCGGACGGTGGCGGCGCCGCCGAGGCCGCGCCGCCGGTGAGCGGCCTCGGGAACTTCAAGGTCGGCGCACCGGGTCCTCCTCCCTCTCCTCCTCCTCCTCCTCCTCCTCGTCGTCCTCCTCCTCCTCCTTCACACCTTGTTCTTCCTCCTTTTTCTCCTCATCATCATCTGTGAATAGAACCCGTATAATACCCTCATATATACTCCTTATCCTCACCTCTCCTGCGCCTGGCCGTTTGGGCTCAGGTATTGGACTAGATCGATCAGACCTTTGATCGTGCAGGAGGAAAAGATATCCATCTTTCCCTCCTTTCCTCTACCAGCGGATCAGGGGTTCTGTACCTTTGTACTCTGACCCCATACACAGGTTATCAGCCCTTTAAAGCTCACAGTTCATCGAACCCCGCGTCGCGATCTCGCACGCGGCCTCGATGGAACCCAAGCGGCGCATGCGCCGTAAAGGGGTCCATGGGGGCCTCGCGTCCGAGCTCTCCGACGGCGCGACGGCTCGGTGATGAGGACCGTGTAGGTGTCCCAGGTACCCCCCCCCCCCAGTTCCGACGGACCCGAGGCGCGGCTAGCTGATGAACTTCACCGCCACGCCGCCCGCGGGGGGACAGGAGAAGGAGTAGGAGCAGGCAGTAGAGAATTTCACACGCCTACCGTCGATCCTCCATCTCCTCCTCCGTCGGGAGCAATCCCAACTGCGTCGGGCGCGAGCCCCACTGGTCTTGATATTCCAGGGCGATTTCACGCTAACCGCCGATGGACCGCAGGTGCTGGCACGACTAGCCCTGCGACCGTTCCCGTAGCGGAGCACGTAGCCACCTTTGAGGAACTCAGTAGACCAGTGGCGGCACAGCCGCAGACGCAGTACCCCCAGGTATCATCTCATCAGACACCACACACGCACGGCCCTAGCCGCAGCTCGTCCTTGCGCAACCGTCGTGGGGCCACAGGCCCATACGACGAGAGGAGGTCGAGCCCGCGTGCTGTCTCACAGAGGCCATGCATTCCTCGCGAGAGGGTGCAGAGGGAAGCTGACGCTCCCCACCTCTCCATCTCAGACGACCTGCTGGCGGCAACGTCCGCTGCAGGCGAGATAGCTGAGCTCAGAGACCAGGTTGAAACCTTCGTGTCCAGACAGTACTCTGGACTGATGCAGAGCGTTCAGACGAACGCTGCCAACACTGCTGCTCTACGCCAAGATCTTGACGGCGCCTTAGGGATCACCGATTCCAGGATCACCGAAGATCGCCGCATCTCAGGTGAGCTGCAGTACCAGGTTGACCGTGAGATGTCACACTCAGGTGAACGATCGGCGACGGTCGAGAATCTGCGCAACTACCTCGCGCAGATGGAGCAACAGCTTGTGATCGTACGCGACACAGGCGTTTCAGCAGTCTGGATTCTCCACGACGAGATCCACGACCAGCTCCGCAACCGACCGCCACCAGCCGAGGCCACCGACCTTGGCGACGTTCAGTCTCAGATCAACGATCTTCGACCCCACATGGACCACACTACGGCGACGCTTCGCACCGAAGCACACACCAACTCGTCGAACCTGGTCGGCATGTTGCAAAATACTGAGAGAATTATCACTCAAAGGCTTGATGCGACCAACGCTGTCGTGCAGCCACTCGCTAACCGGATCTCTGAAATCGAGCAGCGTTTTCTTGGTGTACAGGACGCCCTGGCAGAGTTGCGTGTCGGACGAGCCCAGACTGATCAGCTGGATTCTCCTCCCACGGTTTACGATTTCGCCCGCCTCACTGACAGGTTGCAGGAGGTTGAGAAGGCGGCGGACCACGCGCAGTTTGAGCTCTCCCAGGTCATTCGTGAGAGAGATACTGAGAAGGTACGTGTTGAGGAGCACCTCGCACGTCGGGAAAGTGAGTTGGAGGCGCACAATGCCCGTCCCCGAGCCTACGAGCAACGACTTGACCGGTACTCACAACGCTCTCGGGATACTGATGAGTACACACGCCAAAAGGTGGACCATATACACGAAGATATGACGAGCTGGACAAAGCAGCTGATTGACCACACCAACGACACCATACTTCACCGTCAGCCTGCAAACGACCTGCCAAGGCCGACGGCAGCGTCCGCCGAAGCACCGAACGCTTCTGCAGGACAACAACGACGTACGTCACCAGGAGCAGCCTCCGCGGCAGCTTCAGCACAGACACGCCACGTGTCCCCTGTGCGCACAGAACCAACTACTGACGGTGTACCGATACCATCACAACCAGTGTCTGCGGTTCCGGTCAATACTACTACTCCTATCAAGGAGTCAGACGCCGTCCGAGTCCCTGTCCTGCCTAAGATCACGCAGCTGCTTGAGTGGCAGCAAAAGGTACGGAATAATTTTGGAGCCGCCTCCGGGCGACCATCCAAAGCATATGCCTTCCTATGCGTTGCTGAACAGCCCGAATGTACTTTCGAGGACTTGCAAGACAGTGGAGACTTTGAGAGTATCGATTGCAAGCTCGCCACTGCTCTCAGCGACATATTATCTTCAGACTTGCGTTGCCAGATCAGGCTCATCGAAACCAGAGAGCACAAAGCAGGACGCATGCTCAAAGGACGCCAGATCTACTAGCACATCCTACAGTCCTACAAAGCGACAGAGGTTGATGACGACCTACACGATTTCGAGCGCCTCAAAGAACTGAGGATGAGATGAAGATTTGCAACGTTTCATTACTGATTGGGACGCTTTACTGTTGGAATGCCGAGAGGCACCCGACCCAAAGATCTTGGAATCTCTGTTTCGCACGCAGATTCGCCGACATGCTTGGATGAAACAAGATATGTACGAATACCAGCGCATGAAGATCAGCGACCCGAATCGTACCTATGAATGGCTCCGACAGCGCGTCCTGGACGTACTGGAGCTTAAACAATTGGAAAATAATCAAAATAAGTTACGGCACGAACACGAGACTCGTTCTCCAGTGCATGTATGCGCCGCTTGGAAGAAAGGCAATTGTCGCAATGGTGAGAGATGCAAGGCTCTACATACCTTTTCCAGGGGTTGGAAGAGCAGCAGATCTTCCAGAGCATCGACCGCTGGTGGCAACACTCGCCGCAGCGTTTCAGCCCCTGCGAATCCCAAGAAGCCAGCATCGAAGCCGTTTTGCTTCGAGTTCGCCAAGCGCAACACCTGCGCCAGAGGCGACAAGTGCAACTTCCCACACGTGGCGCAATGCAGAGACTTCGCACAGAACAAGTGCCCCAAGGGCGACAAATGCAAATACGCTCACCTGGCACCTGGTGCGAAAACACCCGAGCGAAGCCCAAGTCGCCCACGGACCTCCAGTCAGGACAGTCGTGGCCTACCGCCGTCCCGCGGATCGGGGAGCCAACGCTCTCCACAACGCGGGGGGTTTCGCTATGCGAAAGACTCACACCAAAGACGTGACGACCGACGCCAATACGACCGCTCTCGATCATCCTCCAGGAGGTCTCCAGACTCTCGCAGCCAGTCGAGAAGTCGCTATGACAGATCTTCGCGATCTTCTTCTCGAGGACGAGACGGCCGTGGCGAAAGACGCGGCAGCCCACGTGGCCGCGATAGATCATGCGGCAGCGACAGAGGACGTGACCGACGTTCCACGAGCCGCGGTTCGCCCCGTGGTTCCCCCAGGTTCAGGGCACGTTCTCCTGCCAACTATCGCCGCCCTCGCCACTCCGACCGCAGTTACGTCATGCGTGACAAGACTCTCATGGCCGCCAACAAGGCCAAGACAACATCTACCAAACCACGGCGTCGGATACGTTTCGACACACATACCGTGGAATACTACCCGTACATCGTTTCCGGCAAGTCCACTCTGGACAAATGGATGGAGAAGCCGAACGAGGGCGACATTGTTAAAGCACCAGACCCGCTGCCACAATGGTGGTGGACACAGAGTCAAGACGCCCTACAACGTTGTCAACGGGAGGCAAAGTTATGGCATAAAGATCTACATGACTACCGACACAACAAGGGGTCGGTGGTCACACCAACTGCGATTCCAGATCCCGACGACTCTACCATAGAGTCCTCAGAGACACACCAGACGAAGACAATGACTTCGCAAGTCGACCCTCCACGCTCGACCGCTGCGTTGATGCGCTCCTGGGTTCTCGACAGTGGATCTGCGCACCATATTCAGGAAAAAACGAGTTGACGCAGACCGAATCGGGTCGCATATCTATTCGCGAGGAGCGCATTCTGGAAACTGCCAATGGTGATCGTACTGTTAACGAGCACTACGACATACAGCTACCTGAAGTGGGCTTGAAGAGTTTAGCCCTCGCCTTGCCAGATTGCACATCGTTATTATCAGTTGGGCACTTGATTGAGGTTGATAGCTTTCGGCAGCTTTGGGATCCAGAGCTGGGCTACTTGCTTCAGGACCCGGGGGGCCAATGGTATAAGGTTCCCGCCAACAACAGAGTTCCAGAATTACGACTCGACGACTTGGCGATGATACCACCACCACGACTGTGCACTTCGTCAGCACCCAGACGTCGTCAGCGCAAGCGTTCATCCCCCCGCTGCAACGACATATGCTGGTGTTGCAAAACTACAGAGCAGTCACCACCTACAGATGAGCTGCGGCCCTACATAGGGACCTGTCCCAAGAGACCGCATGTCGGCGAGGGAGGAGGAGCGCGGACCGCCACGGTCGAATAACCTCCCGACACAAATAATGCCGAGTCCAACGTGGATACACACACCGACTCGCTTACGTCTCAGATGCAGTGTTCTCCTCCCACATGCGGGGGGCCTGCAGATACAGCTCAAGCAGATACCGACATCAAGTCGACCTCCCTCGAGGATCTGCCGATGGAGACGCTCGTCACAGCGCGCCATGATAGCGATCGCGTTCTTCCAAACAGACAGAAGAAACCGATCGACCCTATGCACTACATGACCCACAGTCCGAAACATCCAGACTGTGAGATTTGTTCTCGCACGATGGCGCAGAACGCTCCATGCCGACGACAGCGCAAACCACATCCACCGGCAGACACCGCCGACGAGGACACAGCCTACGAGG